CATCACGGCCGGCCTCCCAGGCGCTTTCTCTGGGCTCCATGGCCACACCCTCGGGGGCGAGTACCCGCCCGAGGTCAGCTCCCACTTCACATGCACCAAGCATGAGGGGAGGGACAGACTCACTGCACACTGTTGTTTTGGTTTTTTTTTTAAGATTTTATTTATTTATTTGAGAGCGAGAATGAGAGAGAGAGAGAGAGCATGAGAGGGGGAGGGTCAGAGGGAGAAGCAGACTCCCCGCCGAGCAGGGAGCCCGATGCGGGACTCGATCCCGGGACTCCAGGATCATGACCTGAGCTGAAGGCAGTCGCTTAACCAACTGAGCCACCCAGGCGCCCTCACTACACACTTGAGAACAAGAGCATACCACAGAGCCGTGGCCCCCAGGAGTCACCACTCAGTCCAGAGGGGTCCTGTGATGATGCTGGCATGGCCAGTCACCGTGTTGTAGTGTTTCCGCAGGGGGAGCCAGAGTTTGGGCGACACGGTCAGTGTCTCCAGCTCTATTCTCTCACAGGTCCGGCGTGCCAGCAAAGAGATCCTCGCTTTTCTCGGAAAGGGAGGTGGGCCACACATCCCCGTTTCCCAGCATGACAGTGTCGCAACTCCTGTCCCAGTAGGGCAGAGGGATGCAGGGAGCCATCTCTCCCCCGCCGGGCCCTCCAACTGCAGTGCAATTCGGCAGAGACCCACCGTGGCCAGGAACCCCAGGAAGAACCGACAGGCTTGCTTATTCTGGACACACGGATGACAGAGTGAAAATTAAGACCCTCTGGTTCTGCGTCTCCTTGGCTGGGTAACGGCTGTGATTAGAACCAGCAGTCTTGAGGAGTGGGAGGTGGGCAAGAGGATCAACAGCAGAAAACAAACCCAACAGGACGAGTCGGGAGGCTGGACCCGTGTGGTGTGGACAAGGAGGAACTCTTGAGAAACAGAAACAAGGGGGCTTGGCTGGATGATCTCTGCGCTTCTACGCAGAAGCCGCGGTAGGATTTTGAGATTCTCGGGAGGAAGGTAACACGGGCTGAATCAACACCTCCCAGAGAACAGCTCCCATGTGAGCTTGGATCCACGGCTCAGGAAATAAAATCCTAACAAGACCCAAGCACCCAGAGCCCAACTGGGGCCCTCCTCCCCTCTCCGCAGAGCCGACTGAAGCCCCACCAGCATCCTCCACCCCCCATCTCAGCCTCCTAGCTGTTTCTCATCCAGAGAGTTCCCCTACAGATAGAAGGCCCTCTGGTTTGCTGTTTCTGATGTTGGCAGTCTTGCCTCGCCGAAAAACTGGAGCAGGTCCCACGTCCCTCGTGCAGGCCAAGAGCACAGGAGGACCCTGGAGGCCACGGTGCCAGGACCAACACACCCACCCCACGGTGTAAGCTATTGGTTTCTAGAATACTTCCCTTCTGTTTTTTGGGAAAGAAATCAGTCTTGGCAGAAACAGGGCAGAGGCCCCAACGACCAGGCAGAGGGCTTCATGGAACCCTGCTGGCCCACTCAAGCCACACTGCAGATGGCCGGCTCAGCCTGGTGCCCATGGCAGGCCCGGGTGAGGCTCTCCCCACCCACCAGGCACAGCCCCATCGGTGCCCTGGGGTCCCCGGCTTGCCACTATTCCTGGGGGGCTTGTGAAGCAGACTGAGCTTGCACATCATTATTACGATCTGTCAGAATAACACGGTGCGCAAACTTCTCTGGGTGCAAGCAGCTGGATTCGCTGCCACGTCCTTGCCAAACGACAGCCACCGCTCCCCTGCCATCATTTTACGGAATAAAGGCTGAGAGCTCTGATTTGCATTTCCACGTATTCGTAGACATTTAACAAGAAAGCACCTCTTCCTCCCTACCACTTCTGCTGCGATCACAAGGTAACTGGGGGCTCCTGCAAGTGTTAATGCTCAGTAACCAAACAGTTCCAGAACAACAACCCATCTGAACTGATGGAGAACGAGTTCTGGTTCCAAGAGAAATCAGCAAACCAGAGGGCATTTGGGGTTTTCATTTTAACAAGTAACAACATACAGAACGAAGAGCAAAACTACAAAAAAACGCCAAGATGTAAACTTCGTATGTCATGATTCATTCATGATGACAAAACGAGCCTCTCGGCAGGAAGAAAACTGAAATGTTTCATGTGAAATTTATTTTTAAAAGGCTATAAACCAAAATAATGAAGTCTAGAATACCAGGCACACAACGCTCTTAAATGAGGACGTCCTCAAAAATACGAAGGTCAGAAAGGCCGTATCAACAGTTCTGGAGCCTCAGAGGTTTGCCATTCTGAGGCTGTGGCTTTTCGTGAGTTTTGTGCAAAACATCTACTTCCTTCTCCTCTGCCCGCATTAAACACGATTTGTCTAGACCAGAGACCTCAGCAGGTGAGTTACTGGGTTGAAATCAACACGTGGTCCTTCCTCAGGCTGGGATGCCAGATACCCCTTATGCTGCTGTATATGGACCACAGGTGGGGCTGACTGGGCGGCTGACAAAAACGGGGTACAACCTACTGGGCACAGTGACGAGCCACAGACAAGAGCTCCAAGAGCCAACACATGCCTCTAGGGACGTGCGGGGAAACTCCATCCCCCTGTACTTGTGAGGGTGGTGAGGGCAAAGGTAAACTCCCAGCAGGATGCTGGGCACGGGGCGGGGTGGGGGGGGTGCGGCACGGGGCCAACAGGGTTTGGTTGTAGACGTGCATCCCCCCAGCACAATGGCCACGCTCCAACTATGATCGACCCCAGCGTGGTCCCAGACGCCTTGAGCACCTCCCAGGTGCTATCAAAAACTGTTCCCCCAAATTATGCCCCAAACACAGAAGTGGGAACGAGCGTATCAGGCCAATGTCTGAGCACGCTGGGTTCTCAGGAAAAATCGGTTATCAGGAGCCATGCTGCAACCTCATTCTGATTCAGATGCACTTTATGCAACGTGAATGCTCTTCTCACTGAGATCAAAACCACCAATAAACAGGAGCCTGCGGTGGTTCAATTATCAGGTTGAGTCAAATGAAAATGCTGTTACTCAACCATTTTTGATATATATTTAAAAAAAAAAAAGCCCATTTCATCTTTTACTATGAATTCCCACATTCCTATCTTAGAGGAAATAGTCTTCCAACCCTGTGGTGTCTATAAAACGTACCAAGTGTTACTTTCCAGTTTTGGGTATCCAACGGAGCTGTTCCCCTGGCCAGCAGGTGAGCCTCAAGTACCTTTCAGTGAAGGACTTGACACGAGGCACCACGAGCGTCTGGACACGGAACTGGACGCCTGTGGGAGGGAGTCCACTGGATTTCCATCACCATTGCCACGAGCCCCTGGAACTATCTTTGGCCCCAGCACCCAATGCTGAAACCAACACCCTACCAACCCCAGGCCCACAGAGATTCTGTAACATCATCTCTCTGCCTAAGAATCCTGGATTAGACTCCAGCACAGAGTCTTCAAGAAAAGTTCCTTTTAGAAGAATGGGTGAAAGACAAGAATTAATGTTGGCTTTGAAAGGCAGAACTGAAGGTCTATGACTGAGATTGGCCATCATGACTTACGAATAAATACACCCCTTTCCCCTAAAGAATGGTCAATATTCCTAGCCTCTCGCCCTCCCCAGTGCTCAGATTCTTAGAATTGTTCCAAGAACATGGAGTGTCCTCTGGTAAGTAATCCTCTCAACTACACACTCTGCTGTGGCCTTTGGTCAGGCAAGCCCTCTCGGGTCATCCCAGGAGAGGCTTCTGGACTACCACACCAAATTTAATCTTAAAACAGGCAGGGGATCTTGGGGACCGTCGTAGCCCAACTACTGAATTCACATGTAAGAAGACCTCCAAATGCCTGGAAGAGGCCCAGGTCCCAGGTAGTTTTCGGTCAGGATCTCCAACTGACCCTACCCTATGGGGAGGGAGGGGGACACACAGTGAGACACTTCCCTGGGCCACAAACCTCTCTGCTAGCTAGGTTCAGGCCGTGGTTGTGCTCAGCCTCCCGCCCACTGGTGCTCACAGAGGAATACTGCACTGCAGGTCTCTAATGGAGCCCAGCTCCGAGGAAGGTGGGCCCAAGCCCGCAGGGGTGCACCTGCCCACTCTCCGAACCAGAGGCTAGATGCTATCCAACACTTCGGGCAACACTCCCAGGGGTTTGACAGAAAGGAAACCGAAAAAAATTTGCTCTCACACTCTTTGTCTTGCTTTTAAATGACGCTGTTAGCTCAAGGAGAAAACATCTTTTTCCAGCAGGTTAAACATCAATCACTTCTGAGAAGTTGCCATTTTGAGACTTTGAGTTAGGATGCAGGTTTTGTGAAGAATGGCAAGCGGCGTGTTGCGACTAGACTCTGGACCTCCAAACCTTGCTCTGGGTAAAGGATTGAACGACATCGATCGAGGATTTTCTCAGCCACACTCTGAAGGAGTGCAGGCAAAATTGAATGCTCTCCTCCGCGCACACCCACATCCCCAGTCAACTCCACCAGAAAAGAAATCATTTCATGCTCAAGACATCCTAGAGGTTGGTAGCTCTAAAAAATCTAAGCTCGTTAGAGATGTGCCTCCATCAGCAAGCTGCTGTCTTTCTAAAGACATCCATCCACCTTTTCACTCGAGCGTCTTTGGGGTGGCATGAGACTATTTCCCTAATTCATTTTTATTCTTTGTAATTAATACGTCGAGAAGTCCTAACACGACTTCCATTCTGCCTTGAGTCTCCTAGTAGTATAATTTCCGTTGACTTATCTCTGTGGCAGCAGTGAGAGCAGAAACAATCACTTTACACTGAACTATATTGCTTCAGAGTTAATTACATGTATTTTGCTTTTGATAAATGAAAATACCAGATGCAATTAATTGAAAGACAATCAATAGAATCCTGCTACTAGACATCCCAATGAAACATCCAGAGCCTGCTGGCAATCCATAGTCATCAACTAATTGAAAACGCATTCCAGAGGTGTTTTAAAAAACCTGAGCTTTTACCTGGAGATATTTTATAGTAACTCACCAATATAAATCTGTCCAGAAACTATAGCTCACACGATGGGCTGTCCGTCTTTTTAAGGGAATCCAGCTTCATTGGTTCAAAACCATTTAAGGCGATGAGAGTCTGAAAGTACAATGAATTGGGTCAGAGGAGCTGAAGCAGTGTTTTTTTTTTTCTCTGTTGTTTACATCTAGCCATTCCTTAATTGCATTTTTCCAATGCCTTCGATTCTAAGCTACCAGAGGTTATTAAATGGTTTCATTAAAAATACTATTTGTCTTGCTTCAGTCACACACCAGATCAAATTAAACAGTAGAGCACCAGAACAAATGAACCCTTTCCATCTCTTTTGACACAAAGCCAAGTGTGCAAGACCAGAAGGTGATACTGTGTCATCACCGTGAAAATGTCATTTACATCTCTTTACACATCTCCGAGTAGCGAGCAAAGGGACAACACAATCAATACCTTCAAGCAAAAAGTATTACCAACTGTTGGAGAAATATGGAAGTATAAAGTGCAATTCATAAGCCCACGGTTTGCAAGTGCTGTCAGCATAAATGCTGACAACTGTTAATCCGCTGCAACTCTGATTAACGGTTGCAGTTGTCCATTAATAGAAGGCATTTTAACTTACTACGGAAATTGATTACTCAGTTAAGAATTCAATCCTAATGTTCAATAAAATGGCACTTTCTCGGCAAGTGCAATATGAAATGAGGTGATGCATTACACAGCACTCACATTTACTTTACTATACAAGGGATGAAGAGGAAATCTACTTTGGTGTCATCACCTACTTGAACCACTTCCTATTCACAGAGTCGTCGGAGGGGCAGGCGGGGAAGGTAGCCCTGGGGCAGGCAGGACAGGCAAGCACGCAGGCGAGCGTGTCCGAGTGCCTTTTCGGGGACTTTCCCATGACGAACAGACAGGATTGCACCCACTGCAGTTTTCATGCAACCACACTGTCCATGTTTCAAGGTAGTATTTCTCAAGGCCCGTGAGAAAGCAGAGGTATGCGCGTCCCGGAAATGAACTGCTGCAGCCAGCCCTGACCATTCCCAGGCCCATCTTAGAATCAATCAGGATTCGGATGGTTGGTTAATATTTTTAAAAGGGTATGAAATTACGGAAACTAGCTTCCTAGCTTCGCTCTACTTTTCAAACCATTCGAATCTTAGGGAGCTAGAGTTTCCTAATATACTTTTCCCTCCTTTAATTTTTTTTTAAAGTAGGCTCCACTCCCAGTGTGGAGTCCAAACGAGGGGCCTGAATTCACGACCCTGAGATTAAGACCTGAGCCGAGAGCAAGAGTCTGACACTCAACCAACTGAAACACCCAGGTGCCCCACTTTCTCCTCCTTTAAAACAATGGGGTCATCTCTTGGGATCCAATCCTGTGGCATAACCTGCCCAATTACACAGCAAGTCGGAGAAAGGAACCCCTGGACCTCCCAGGTCCATGCACTGCCCATTGAAAAGAAAGCCATATTTGTGTTTTCTATTCAGTGTAATGAAGCAGTGCATCCGGGTGCTCCGACATCAGCCAGCTCCCACACCACAGCGAGATCCAAGTCAAGGGCAGGCATGGTTCTGAAGAACTACTTAGAAGAAGGGGGACCTCTATAGTCAGGGTTATCATACCAAAGGTCAAAAAGTAATTCCACTCCCACACCACCTTATGCCCCCAACTTTCCAACTTAAGGAGGGGTGGGAGGGAGGGGACGGAGACACGTCAGCCTTACTTTATTAAGTGCTGGGGACGGAAGAGCAGGCATAGCCTCTCAGCAGTGCTGAGCATCTAACGACACAATTACGTTTCATGTTTAGTAACTAAGCATTTACTCTATCTAGGAACCATCCTGAAATTTTCAGGAGGCAAGAGCTTGCCTAGCAAACTCCTGTTCACCCTTCAAAACCCATCTCCTTCCTGCTCCAGCTGCCAGGCTGTTCCATACCCTGACCATCTCCAAGTCTCTTCAGTGTTAAATGTCTTGATCGCATTCATCTCTAGATTTCTCCAGGTGTGGAACACAGTCGAAAATCAAATATTTAACTACCTGCATAATGTAATCTATCTCCTTAGTCTAGCACTGCTCGTCCTAGTAGGTCACAAGCTTCCTTTTTCTTTGTTTCCAGTGCTTTGCACAACAGACACTTGAATGTTTACAGATACATATACATGTAAACGATGCATTTCCAAAAACATAAGGAAATTAATGTACATCTGACCCTCAGATGACACGAATGTGAAGTGTGCGGGTCCACTTATATGTGGATTTTTTTTCTGATGGAGTACAGTCCTGTAAACGTATTTTCTCTGATGATTTTATTTCTTTTTTTCTAGCTTGCTTTACTTTGAGAATATGGCCTATAATACAAATAACACACAAAACGTGTCATTCGACTGTTTATAGATTGTGATTAAGGGCTTCTAGTCAATCATTGGTTACTGGTAGTTAAGTTTCGGGGGAGTCCAAAGTTCTACGTGATTTCTGACCGCACAGAGGGGTTGGCACCCCTAACCCTCATGTTGTTCAAGGGTTGACTGTGTAACAGGAAGAGGTCCCTTTTGGAAAGGAGGGAGGGAAGGAAAAGTTATTGGGGAAGTGAAATTGAGCAGGGTGTGTAAAGTTACTTCTTGTATTTAAACAAAGCTTAAAGAGAAATACACTAACACGTTCATACTGGTGGGTACAGTCTTACTTTGAGACAATGCTTCATAGCTAAACTAATTCAACGGGGAACAGACAACTCGGCCATTTAGGAGGCTTCACAGAGGAGGTGACAAATTCAAGAGAGCCTGCAGACTGCCCAAGCCAACAGGGACGGCTTATGTAGCCGATGAAGAACACCGAAAAGGCTTGGAAGACTGCCGGAATCTTGATAGCCAGTGTCCACTGCTACTTGAAGGTGGTAAGAAGAAGTACTTTTAAAAACTGGAGCGGGAGAAAGGCTACAAATCCACAAGCCCTTGTTTCCAAAGATACCTGAGGGCGGCACCCCGTGCGGGAGGGCTGCGCACACGCGCCAGGATTTACGAACTTCCAGGAGCGTGCAACGAGACACGGACATGACCTCGCTGATTACAGTCACCACGGCTCCTACAAAGGCAGCCTCAGGAGCCCGAGCGGGCTGTCCCCCCGAGTGTCCCGGCCACAGCGGGCGAATGCCAGGCAGCTCCCGTGTCTGGCCGGGGAGAAAGGCTCTGGTTTTTGGCCCGTACCATCAACCTGGGTGAAGCCATTAAAGAGCACTAGGCAAATGTGTTCCGCCCATATTGTGGGCTAACGAGAGGCGTGCACGGGGGCCTCAGCCCACGCCCGAGGAATGCAGCCCCCAGACGCTGAAGGAATCTCAGCCAGGCCGTGTCCTGGGGCTTTCTACACATAGGAAACAGACAATTCAGGACATGTTGCCTAGAAGGATCTTCTCCTCCTGGATTTCTAGTTCCTTCCCACATGTACTCGGGCAGATGAAAGTTACTGTTAGGTATATAGTAAGACTACTTTTCTGAAATGTTATGAGAGGAGCACCTGGCAAGTCTGCAAAGGACGGGAGCAAGGTCAGGCCTACAGAGGTCAGGCGGGGGCCGAAGCGCTCTGTCCTGGCTCATTCTGGGAGGACCCGTCCTGCCTGGACTTCAACTGTCTTTCCCGGCTCCTGCGTCCTGCATGGCACCGAAGGCCCTCAGGCATCCAAACTGCAGTAAGGAGAGGATACACGGGCGGCTCCGCCTGGGCTCTCCCATCCTCCCAGCTGCGGCAGGCATCGTTTACGGACAAAATGCCCACTGACTTGCACTTGCTCTGGGTGAGTTCTTCTCATGCTACTTCTTGCATCTCAGGCTTTGATGCATTGGCTCCTGTTACCACTTGGGGCTTGTCTGAACCCCACCTGGATTCTCTGCTCTGACTCACATTTGGGTCATCTAGGCTTTAAAATGTCCGTCCTACTGTCCTGCCATGAGTAATGAGAGCCGCTTTACCCGCTGGTCCTAAGTGGAGCTCCCCCTGCCCCTCCCCAGCCTCATCATCCCCAGGCTGGCCAGTGAGCTATGGTACAGCTCAGCTTGGGCGATTATTAGAAGGGAAAAGACCCTCGAGTGGCAGATGTGGGCAGAGCAGGCAGCCCAGGCTCCTGGAGAGCACCAGCCTCATCTGGAACCAGCTCACAGCGTCCACAGCCTCCTCTCGGATCCAGGGAACCCCATCGGCATTTACCACTTAAACAGAAAACCTGAGAACAGCCCGCAAGATCATCCCTTAGGCAATCGTGAATTGAATTTACTGCAATAAAGGGCCACTGGGAAGGGACCAGGGGAAGAGCACAGAGCACAAGCAAGATACCACACAGGAGAATCCCAGGCTCTGTGGGTGAGGAGGACCAACCCACCCCCTAGGACTCTGCCCTGAGATGGAGACTGCACCTGCTTCACGGGGGATAGGGCCCTTCAAAGACAGAAGGAAGCCCAGCCCAGGGCCAGGGCACATCAACTACTCAGAAAATGCTAGTCATCATCGGATTTGGCACTTGGCTCCAGGACAAGGTCATCATTGTTAGCATCTTCTAAAAACCAAACCCACCTCTGCCCACGTCACGAGATAAACGGTTCCTATTTGGCACAAGAATGCAATAGTCCTAGCTGGGTCATTGAGACCAACATGCCCCCATCCCACCTGCCCCTCACCTCAGTGAGTCCTGTGGCAAGGCTGTGCTCAGAAACAAGAGACTGGGTGAAGAAGCATCCAGAACCCCAGCCTTCCCTCCTGTCAATGTTCCCTCGGCACAGATGCCGCCACCCCGGGCTCTCAGGAGGGCGCCCAACGTTAGGAAGCTGACGATGGAGCCCTGCTAACATGACAGGTCGCCACTCCGGGAACTGCCCACCTCTCCTCAGCTGCGAGCACCGCCCCCCCCCCCCCCCGACCCCGGTTCCTGCTGCCCGTCTGCGCCTCAGGACAAGGCGGCCCAGCCCACAAGATGGCCCATGGGGCCACTGAAAGAGGGGCCCACAGAAACAAAACGCAAGCCAAAGCTCCAGAGAAGGCTCACCCCACCTCTCAAGGGCCTTGGATGAGGTCCCGAGGGAGCCCACCATGACCTGAAGGTCCATGGGT